AGGGTTTAGGGGTTCAGGGTTTATTGTTTAGGGTTTAGGGGTTTAGGGTTTAGAGTTTAGGGTTTAGGGGCTACCGTAGAGGTACTTTATGGCCTAGACGTTTATGCTAGCAACTTCAAGCTGTCTGGAGTCTCTGCATGAAGGCATTCGCATGAGCTGTTTCACCTAGGTTTTCACTGTGTAAATGCTTAACCCTAAAGGGTCCATGTACCCAAATAGTAAAATACTTTGGCCCAAAAGTACCCAACTAGGGACTGCTTTAAGAAAGCATATGCTATTTAGGTACATGGACCCTGAGGGTAAGGTTCCCTTGTATTGCAGTACCTTTTGTTGCTTAACCAATGCTGATGGTTATAGGACCCCATAGCTTAATGTTGGTTAACAAAACAGGTGCTACATTGGAAACATCTGGAAACTATGTGTAATTCGTTCCGTTTTCGTGAACCCGTTTTCTAGGCAGGGGATCTCGCTTTCCAGCCCCCAACGAGACGGCATGAATCATGGGAGATGGGCACAAACTATACACCGCGTCACAGCTGGTTCGGCATATCGCTCCGTGTTTGCAGGCTAACCGTCACTAACCTTTTCTCTGATCAACGAAACGCAAGAGACCCATGGTGCGTGAAACACTGCCTAGAGAATAAGCCTGTTCATCCCGTTTGATCTTGGGCCTCTATCCAAAAGCTCCTAAGAGGGTCTTGGGCTTTTTGTGGGATGGCTTCGGCTTTGGTGGCAAGGGTTTGGGATCTCACCGCAAGGGTCCAGGAGCATTAGGGTAAACCTTCCCCAATTAATTGGTCTCCCCCCAAAACCCTGAATTTCTAAGCCACCTAATCCCTTTATCCGTAAACCAACACCTCGCAACAAATTCCTAAATCCAGAATTATCCACTGTCAGATCATTGTATAGAATAGAGCCTATGATGTGTGTATGCATATATATATATATACATATATATATATATACACGGGTAGTTCTGTAAATTAGGGTCCGTTTTAGGGTCCTTTTGATTGATAAGGGTTCCGTACTATATTTAGGATCTAAAAAGGGGCCCTAATTTAGAGAACTACCCATATTATATATATATATATGGTAACAGGGCCTCCTGTTATCCACAGGCTTATATAAAGGTATATATATATATATATATAGTGTAGAGCCAGATATGTACAGGCACTAAAGCAGCAGGAAGCTTTGCACCTTAACAAACGCTATCAGCCCCAGAAACGACCCTCCGGGGTCGATTCTTTGGCCAATCTTCACATCCCTATAGGACCCCTTGAAGGAACCCTTTTGGAGGAACCTTTTTCAAGGAACCCTGCTTAAGGCACCCTTTTGAAGGAACCCTTTTTAAGGAGCCCTTGTTTTAAGGAACCCTTTAAGTTTCTGCCCTAAGGCTTTAGGGTTTAGGGCGTAGGGTTTAGGGTTTCGGGTTTAGGGGTTTAGGGTTCAGGATCCCTAAACCCTAAACCCTAAATAGGGGTTTAGGATCCTTAACCCCTAAACCTCGACCACTCTTCAGTTCACCTTCGGTCGCCGCGGTGATGCCGAAGCAGAAGCTCCTCCTAGCCCTCCGCCGGCCCGAAGCGCCGGAGAGGCTTTGAGTTTCCAGGGGATTAGGCTTAAAAGGTTTAGGGTTTGGGGCTTAGGGTTTGATGTTTTAGGATTTTCTGTGTTTATTCCTTTTCAGGGTTCAGGGTTTGTGTTTCCAGGAATCTAGGGTCAAAGGGGTTTAGGGTTTGGGGTTTAGGATTTATGGGTTAAAGGGTTTAGAACTTTGGATGTTTTTTTCCTTTTTTTAGGGTTCAGGGTTTGGGCTTGGGTTTTTTTTGTGTTTGCTGCCTGCAAGACAGGATCATGGAGCTGGTTCTAGTTTCGAAAGGTTTTCCCTGTGTTCGTGTTGCAAGCAAGACAAGGGAGCTTTAGCATGTTCTCTTCAGGAATCATGAGAGGGACACATGCATGCACACATGCAGTTACGTAGGTTTCGATGCATGCATCCCGAATTGAAATAATTGAAATAAGCTTTTGTGGTTTTAATTATTTCAATTATTTTTGCAATATTTCAGTTCTACTGACTGAAAATAATTAACCCTAAAGGCTGCTCTCATAAATATATATATATATACATATATATATATATATACATGTCAGCACTTTCATGGCACAGTTGCCGTTTCGCGACAACTTTTTTGAGAGATGTCGCCCTGTCTGAAATGCAGTTTCGTCCACGGCCTTCTAGCGCGGGAGCTCTCCGCGAAGCTCCGCCGCCCCAGAGGCCAAGGGGTGTTTCCCTGTCAAGCTTGAGGGGCCCTAGGCCCAAACCCTAATTCCTAAACCCTACACCCCTAAACGCATAAACCCTAAACCTTTGACTCTACAAATGGGATTTACATGTGTTCCGGAGTCTTGGGTTGATCTCCTAGCCTTGGGTTCAGAAAGGTTCCCCACAAAAACTAGACCAGGTCGCTTCAGAAAAGGGATTCATTCCCTGGGCAGGTTCAGGCTTTTCATGCCCAAGGCAATAGAGGGGACTAGATAATTTCCTATACCATTGGGTTTAGGGTTTAGGGTTAGGGTTTAGGGATATTATTGTCATCATAGTATAATGGGCCCCAAAACCCTATTTTAATTAAGCCCCCTACATTGCCGCCAGGGTGCATTGCCTTGCTTTCTCAATAGGATGATGACGATCGGGTTCTCAAATTCGGATACTTCCCTAAGGCTCCATGTATGAATATGGTATAGACCTGTGGCTTAAGGTGGTTCCTATGTCCGTACTTTAAGGCCTATAAGTATACACCGTATAGGTGAGGCTAGACCCTAAACCCTAAGCCCCTAAACTAAACTCCTGGACCTTGAGACGCGGCGGCAGCGCAAGGGATCGGACGACGCTACGGTCATGTTACCCTCGCGCGTCTGTACTGTGAAAGCCCACCTTGTGGGGGTTTAGGGTTCAGGGGTTTAGGATTTAGGGGTTGAGGGATTTAGGGTTAAGGGGGTTAGGGATCTAGGGTTTAGGGGTTTAGGGTTTAGGGGTCTAAGAGTTTAAGCTTTAGGGGTTGAGGGTTTAGGGGTTTAGGCATTGTTTTTCGGGTGCAGGGTTCATCCTTGTCAAAGGTGAGCCGCTTTTAGGGCTTAGGGTGTAAGGATTAAGGTTTAGGGTTTGGTGAATGACACACAGCCCGGTGTTCATGTTCATCTGAGGTCAGTCAGGCAAGGGCTCGCATGATCTTGAGGTTGTGGGAATTTGCGGCTGAGGCTTTACGCAGACTGTACTTAAAGGATCACGGGACTTAGTAATTGGGGTTATAACTAAGGTAACTATACTTATATTTACTTATAACCGCAATTAAGAAACTTATAACCTTACTTACTAAGTCCCATGATCCTCCCAGTAGGTGGGGTTTCGATGAGGGGTGTCGAGTTCCCCATAGGGTGTCCCTGCTAGATACTGCACGCAACTCCGCCATTCTACGAACCCCGGGAAGCATCAGTTCTAAATGACGAGTCTTGTTCAACTGTCCCCAGCGGCAGGCACGAGAAGCAGATGTGGCAAATCGAGCAGGCTGGTTTATGGCTTAAGGGCGTTGGCCGAGCATTGGTGCATCTACAGCATCTCGTTCTGTGGGTTCTACAGGCTCCGACTCAAATCGAAACTAACATGGAACTCCACACAGCCGCCCCTTTTGAACAGGACAACGGTCTGTCGTGATCCCTTTTCTCAGGTTCCATGTTAGGCTCAGGGTCCATGTGCATACATACCCCAAACTCCATCCCACTTAAAGGATCATGGGACTTAGTAATTGGGGTTATAATTAAGGTAACTATACTTACACTTACTTATAACCGGAATTAAGAGACTTATAACCTTACTTACTAAGTCCCATGATCCTCCCAGCATGCTTCGGCCTGAAAGAGGGTTTAGGGTTTAGGGTTCCTGTAAAGTCTTTTTGGGGTCAGCGCATGTCCTCATATCTTCAGCCCGCATGGTACCCTTTATAGTATATAATGTCGGAGCTTAATTATTACCAATACTAGTTTTGGGGTATGCTGTCCGTTTTAGCTGTACTTATAGTATAATGGGCCCCAAAACCCTCTTCTAATTTTTAAGGGCCCTGTATTAGTAGCTTTAAGGAGGACCGCCAACCCCAACTATCTGGGCAGTTGGACTCTGAGCGGTGAGTTTAGGGAAAAGGGTTTAGGGGTTTGGGTTTAGGGTTTAGGGTTTTAGGTTCAGGGGTTACGGGCTTCTTCCTTTACCTGGGTAACTGGGCTGTAAGGGGCATCCCTTTAAATCTTCGCTGAGTTATCTAGACCCTAAATCCTGAACGAAAGCAAACGAGAGAAGAGTCTCGTCGGGATCCGCCGGATATGTTCAATTCCAGTGATTTCCCAGCGTCCCTCGGCGGGATGGATAGCTCGTCAACTCTGTCGTGGATCCAACAATCTTGCACTTGCTGAACGAACGGCCGGTATCAGGTGGTCTTTGAGAAGGGTGCCGCCATTCTCCGTCAGGAGTATTTCGCCCTTGAGAGCGACTGGCCAAAGACCTTTTTCGCCTGGCCTTCTTGGAGGATCATGGGACTTAGTAAGTACGGTTATAAGTCCCTTAATTGGGTTTATAAGTATAGTTACCCTAACTATATCCTCATTGACTAAGTCCCATGATCCTTTAAGTAAGCTGAGTATGCTGAACGAGGCCTAGTTTCATCCCCGCTGTCGGCACAAACTCGACGGAAATGCCTACAGCGATGCCGAGGCATCGCCTGCCAATGCTTTCGTCCGTCCTGGGTCAAGACAATGCGCGATGCCACAAAAGCATTCCGTGAGAAACAAAGGTTTTTTCCAAGGCTGCCGCTCTTCGGCCTCATACCGGAAAGAAGGGTTTAGGGTTTGGGAGCATTCAGAGCTGCAGCACCTCCGTGCTGTGCCTGAGTGTTGTCCGCGTAGAATCAAAAGCTTGCGGGGCAAGTCTTCTAAAGGTGAAATAGAGGGGCCTAAACAATTACCAATACTATTTTGGGGGTTCCTTATTCTTATATATATATATATATATTTATTTATTTATTTATTTATATAGTGCAAATACTCCGAAAGTATGACCTAGCGGCACTGTTGCAACTTAAGGGCCCTGGGGTTCAGGGTTTCAACGGTCTAGGATGACAGAGGCCCGGCTTGGATTTTGATCTTTGAGCAGAGTAATGATTCATCCCCGTTTAGGGTTTGGGGCTTACCCTAAGGGTCCATCTACCTAAATAGTATATACTTTGGCCTTCAAGTGGTCCCTATTTGGCTACTTTGGGGCCAAAGTATCTACTCTTGGGCACATGGACCCTTAGGGTTAGGGCTTCGGGTTTAGGTTTTGGGGTTCAGGGTTACGGGTGTATAAGGTTTTCTCTAAGCACGGAGAAGAGAAGACTCGAGACGGATGGAAAGCCGGGTGAGTTGAATCCCTAACCCTGGGGCTCCAAAAAGCCCAAAGTAGGTACTATGTACAGACTTTAGACCCCAAAGTAGGTTCTATTTGTATACTTGGATTCTAGGGTAAGCCTAAACCCTCAGACTTCTCAACGCATGAAGCCCCCACACTCTAAGCCCTAAGCCTAAACCCTAGACCCTAACCCCCAGGCCCTAAACCCTAAACTTAAGCAAAAACCTGCTCTCGAAGACTACGGCTGTCTGCTCCGATGTCCTAAATCAACAAACTTGCTCTCCAAAGGAGCCCGGAAGACACTTGCAGAGCCCTAAACGGGCTTAGAGTTTAGTGTTTAGGTTCCTTGAGCCCTTTAAAAGGTTGTCTGATGCTCTCTGCTATGCTCTTCTTGGCATTTAAAACTGTGAATTTTGTGGTGTTTCCTGCTGTTGTATATGGAAGCTCGTAACCTAATCAGGTGCAGAAGTAAGCCATTGCTCGTTTCTACAGTACAGGGTCTACGTAATATAGGGTCCTGAATAATTACCTATACCCTTTTGGACCCTCCTTATTGAGATTATACGACAATATACCCCAAAACCCTATTCTAATTATTAAGGCGCCTACATTAGAGACCGGCACTCTACATCAAAGGCGCACCCCTGTCCATGTCAGGCCTGTGGGTTTAACCAGCAACTGGTTGGTGCTTGGGTGTAAGACAACCCAGAGTCTCCAAAACCCCCTTAATAGATTCCTATATCTTAGTAGGGTTCCTACTCTAATTTGAGGTATATTCCTTAATTAAGGGGTTTTGGAGTCTCTGGGAATATCAGCATGTGAACGTACAGGGACGTATCGGTTTAAATGGAACCAGGCTCGTGACGGTCTGATGTACCGCTTTAGCACATGCAGTGTGACGACTGCTCGGAGGATCATGGGACTTAGTAAGTAAGGTTATAAGTCCCATAATTGGGATTATAAGTAAATATAAGTATAGTTACCTTGGTTAGAACCCTAGTTACAAAGTCCCATGATCCTCCAAGTATTCCAGGGCCTCAGTTTTTTTAGGACGCACTCGGCGACTCTTCAGGGGTATTGTAGGCTCAGGGTTTAGGGTTTGGGGTAGGGTTTAGGGTTTAGGATTTAGGGTTTAGGGTTTAGGATGTGCATTAGAATCTCTTACTTTCTGAACTTCCCAGATGTCTTTTCACCGTAGTAGATATCCTGCTGAACGTAACGTACTGTTATTTCTTTATAGCGGGTTCGAAGTGGCTTTACTTTTTGGGGGTTCAGGGTTTTGGGGTTTAGGTGCTACTCGGTGCTACTGAAGACCATGCCGAATAACCACCTCCCCACCCCAAAGCCCTAAAACGTTGAAAGGAACCCGTATAGACCTCTTATAGCTTTTGCCGGGTTCCCCCGACCCTGCGGGTACCAAACCCGTATAGAGCCTTTATAGTAAACCCCTAAACCCTAAATCGTAAGCCCTAAACCCTGAACCCTAACCCCTGAACCCTAAACCGTAAACCCTAAGCCCTAAACCCTTGAACCCTAAGCGGTCCGCAGGGGCTTCAGTCGATTCCCAGCCGACACATCAGCCAGGCAGCTTTGGGTTATCGGGCTTTTGTGCTTTGG